TTGCTAATTAATTTCTGAGACGGTCGATTTTGCACAATAAAATTGAAAAATGGGCTGTTTTAAAAATTTACCCATACACAATCACTGGCTTCGCGACAATGTTAACCCCCGACGAATCGCAAACGCTAAAGTCCAAACAAGGAGTAGTAAGTGCACATCCTGAACACGAGTGCAAGCTACGAACCACCTACAACCCAAAGTTCTTGGGCCTCAGCCGATGGTCCGGATTGTGGCCTAGCTCAGACTACGGTGCGGGTCAAATAATCGGTATGATGGACAGTGGAATCAAGTACAACCACCCTTCATTCGACAGCCAGCAGATGTCTCCACCTCCCCCACCACCCATATGGAAAAGAAAATGCTATGCAACAAGAAGATCATCAGTGTTGGGACAAACCCAGGGCCCAATAGAGTAGAGTCATAGGAATAGTAGAATGAATGTAGAGATAAAAAGATGAACACACAGATTTTCGTGGTTCGGCACAAAATTACCTACGTCCACGAGCAAGGATAGAAGAATCCACTATGAGGAGAAAATTCTGGAGTTACAATCTCTCTTTACAAGGAGATACTCTCTCTCTCTATTTTTTCTCTCTCACTCTTCTATATGAGGAGTTATTTCTGCGACGAGTTTTTCCTTAAGGATTTGGAGCCTATTTATAATATTTAGAAAAATACTATGCACTAATAAAATAATATTATTTTACTATGTAACACTGTGCAACTTTTTCATTTTTCAACATTACAGTGCCTAACTTAGGAGGAAAATGGTTTGTAAGGCTCGTGAGCTTTTCATTTGTTAAAATTTGAGGCTGCTGGCTGAAGTTTCTTGAGGCTGCTTGCTGACAATCTCCCACTTGAAGATTTGATTGAGTATCAATCATATCTTCATACTATTTTTTTCTATCTTACCATCTTCATGTTGCTCATGTCTCCGACAAACCACAGGAGGATCTATACCAAATAAATTTGTCAGTACTGGATGTTTTTGTCAAAAAAATCTGCTAGGTTGTCTTCGGTGTGAATTTTCTGCATATCCACTATTCCTTCTTCTACTTTCTCACGAACGGAGTGGTACTGAACTCGAATGTGTTTGGTCTTTGAATGAAAGGCTAGATTTCTTGCCAAATGCAAAGCACTCTACTTGTCACAAAATAGAGATATCTTTTTTTGTTCATAGCCGAGTTCCTCCAGCACCATCTTCAACCACATCACTTCTTTACTAGCTTGTGTAGTTGCTACATATTCTGCTTCTGTTATTGAAGTAATCACAACTGACTGTAGTTTTAAAACCCAGCTTACAGCTCCGCCAGCAAGTGCAAACACATAGTCTGTGTTGAATTTTCTATTATCACGATCACTTTCATAATCAGAATCAACATATGTACTGACAATAAAATCAGATCCCTTATAACATAATGCAATAATTGAGGTTCCTTGAATATATCTTAGAACCCTCTTTACAGCATTCCAATACTCTTTACCAGGATTTGTCATGTATCGACTAACCACTCACACTGCTTGTGCAATGTCTGGTCTTGTACATATCATAGCAAACATTAAGCTTCCCACTGCTGATGCATACGGTACTCAAGACATCTCCATCCTCTCTTCTTTACTGCTAGGACTCAAACTGGAGGATAACTTGAAATTAATAGGAAGTGAGGTAGAAATTAACTTACAATCTTGCATGTTAAAGCGTCGCAAGATTTTGTTCAAATAGTTTTTCTGAGAAAGCCAAATATTCCTATTAATTTTGTCTCAGTAAATTGTATTCCTAGAATCTTGTTTGCAGATCCTAAATACCTCATTTCAAATTCCCTAGTCAACTGAGCCTTTAATTCTTTGATACGATCTTTGTTGGGGTCTGCAACCAACATGTCATCAACATACAACAATAAGATAACAAAGTTATTTTCACCAAATCTCTTGAAATATGTACAAGGGTCTGAATTAAGTTTGTTGTATCCAATGCTCATGATGAATGAATCAAATCTCTTATACCAACACCTCAACGCCTGCTTTAGACCGTACAGAGATTTGTTCAATCTGGATACCAAGTTCTTTTTTCCTTTTTCTTCAAAACCTTCTGGTTGGAGCATGTAAATTTCTTCTTCAAGATCTCCATGAAGAAATATTATTTTCACATCTAGCTGCTCTAGATGTAAGCCAAATATAGCGCTCATAGTCAGGACTATTCGGACTGTTGTAAGTCAAACTACAGGAAAAAATATTTTATTAAAGTCAATACTAGCACGATATCCTTTTACCACCAATCTAGCATGATATCGCTCCACTTGATCATCGCTATTTCGCTTGATCTTGTAAACCCATTTGTTTCCAATGGTATTTCTTTCTTGTGGCAGTGACACAAGTTCCCAAGTCTTGTTCTTATGGAGAGTTTCAATTTCTTCCTGCATTACTGCCATCCACAAAGATGCATCTGTATCATTTATAGCTTCATTAAAAGTTGATGGCTCTCCACCTTCTGTTAGAATGCAGTATGCAACATTACTCTCCATAATATACTCCGAGTGCCAAGTCGGTGGCCTTCTCTCACGAGTTGACCTTCGCGCTTCTGGAGCCTCAGACTCGACTGGTTCTTGTACATCATGCTCCGATGTTACTTCAGAAGAATTCGGATCATTTTCTACCTGAACAGCTATAGTCTCTGAGTCATTCCTTGAACTGCTTTCTTTTTCATCACTTTGTAGTTGATTTTCTACAAAGATAACATCTTTGTTGATGATAACCTTGCGGGCAGTAGGATTCCACAGGTGATACCCCTTTACTCCATCAGCATACCCCAAGAATATGTATTTTTTGCATTTTGAATCCAACTTTATAATTTCTTAGGCATTGTACATTACGTACACTAGACTTCCAAATATATGGAGGTTGAAATAATCAACTAGCTTTCCAGTCCACATCTCCATCGGCGTCTTTTTTTTTTGGTCAATGAAAATGATTTTATTCATTACCAAGTGTGAACATTACATAGCACTTAACAATTCCAGATAGTCTGGATCTCAACTAGCCAAAAGATCACAAAATTACAATCTCACAATACTTTCCTTTACATACTCTAGAAAATCATCATTCAAAATTTTAGAGAAAATGGAGATTTTTATCACACGAAGTAGTTGATCAGGTTGTCTCATTTTGCTTTGAAATATCCTCAAGTTTCTCTCTTGCCATATCTGATATACTAAAACAGAGAGCGCCATTCTTTCAAATTTTCTGCAAAATTCTTTCTTCGAAGTCTACAACTGTACCAATCTATAATGTGCTCCCAATCACAAGATCTCCAATTGAACTTCAACCAATCCATGACCTTGTTCCAAACACTAGCACTGTACTGACAGTCAAAGAAAAGGTGTTGGCATGTTTCCAGCTGATTAGAACATAGCACACACCTATTAGTATTGATGATGTTCATACGACAAAGCCTCTCGTGTGTTAGCAACCTAGAATGGGCAACTAACCACAAGATGAAAGAATGCTTGGGATAATGAAGACTATCCCATACAGTAGCTGACCATGCTACCTGCTGAGAAGAATGAATCAGTTTTTCATAAACTGCCGAAACAACAATTTTTCCATTTACAAAGCAGCTATCAATTA